TCTCTCTCTCTCTCTCTCTCTCTCTCTCTCTCTCTCTCTCTTTATCGAATCAATGTATTGAAAACCAGTTCTCTACCCATTTATGTGGAGGCAACGGAAAAATTGGGCACGACATGGTAAAAATGATCGATGGTGATCTGCCGTTGCATGGCGACAATAACTGTAGAAAAACTTGAGTGAAAAAATGCGCATAAATTGCTCTGGCGAATAAATGACATTCACTTTTAAAAAGATTTTTGCTCCTATCGATTTAGTTTTTCCTACTTCAGCTATTGACTCTGCTCATGATCGGCGTCAACTGTGCATTTGACTGACATTTTGTGAACTTGCTGCGGCGATGTATTCCTCGCAATTTTATTGTGTTTCGCAAGGTTGAGAGAAGAAAAAGTAGGAAAAAACTTGTTAAACAAAAACTGCGAATTCGAAAATTGCTTGAGTTACGATGCATTTTAACATCATCATTGATGCTGCTCATCGAGTTTAAATTTTTGTTTCTGCGTGCAAATTGCGATTTCAACTTGAGCTACGGATTTCTTTTACCGTCTTTGCAAAGCGCAAAAGTGAGGGATGTAGATGATTTCTTTACTGTTAATTGTGTGTGTCTGATGTGTTGATGTAATAATTTTTATTTGCGAACGATGTGCAGTGAAGTGTACTTGAGCTGTTTGTGTGTCTGCGAAAGATGTTAGTACTATGTAGTTGTCAAGTCTTCAGCAAATAAAAGGCCATCATTTGACGTTTCACATTGAGATGGTTTGAAGAGTCGACGAGCGCGTATCGTTTTTGCTGTTAATTCCTTCCGTATCACGCTTTTCATGCATTTGACATTGGTTGGTCGTGCAAATTATTGACATGAATATTCAATGCGGCTTTAAGCATTTCGCTATCATTTGTATCTCGTTTTCAATTTAGTCGAGAGTGTTGAGTCCATTTCCACATGGCACTGAATAAATTACCAGACATTCCCAACTGACGATCGGCTTGATGACGATTTTCGCGCGCGTCATACACCGTACACACACACACACACATTCAATTCACTTAAAATGAAATTATAACGGCCATACTATTTTACGTGCTCGTACGTATCCTTTTTATACTCATACTTCGGAGCCTTTTAATACTTTTTCTCTATAATAAAATATAGTATAAATCCCATAATGGGAGCCGAATACTTTGAAAATCACACAATTAAATGGTGAATATTAAAATGAATTCATTGCGCGAATCGGAAAATGAACGAACTCAATTTGTGCGTGTGGAAAATATGTAAGGAATAGACGGAAATCATTGCGCGTGCAATAGCTTGTTAATTTTCCAATTTTCTTTGGAATTACATAGACGACGTACGGTCGTATTTGAAATGCCAAATTAACAACTTTTCGTTTCAACCAAAATAACGATGGGCTTTCAACAAAAAGTAAGTGCGCGCGTCATTCACACATTGGATAATGTGCGGGAAAGTGTTAAAGCAGCTAAAATGGTCTCATCACTGCTCAAGGCGACAGCGTAGGTGTTACACGGGGTACTTACATAGGTTTCAATTAAATCGTTTCGATGTGGCACAAAGTAGTTGTGATCTTCCATATCACGTCGTTTCTTCACTCGCACAAAATGCTCCATCGGATTGAGATTCTTGCGAGCACACGCGTTCGCTAGGAATTCTTCGACGGACATTGCGTCGCGTAAGTAGACCGTCGCATAGTTGTTGTCGGGTAGGGCGACTTTGTAGGTTTTATCCGGATCATCGCGGGAGTTCATCTGTGGACAAGAGTGAATTTTTTTCAATAGTATTTTACAACAAACACAAACAAACAAATCTAAATTACAATCGATATGTTTTTTCTTCTTCTTAAAGCTCCAAATACTGGTTTAAGCTGTATTTCTCGTTTTCAGCCCTATTCGCTTTTTGTCTCTCTCTCTCTCTGCTATATATCTCAAACGTACAGCGCTTCCATCATTTCGTTCATTGCACACAACAATTGGATAAAATATTCAAATGCCAAATGCATGAAACAAAAGCAATAATTAGACTGAATTTAATTGTTTCAACGAACAAGCTTAAGCTAAACGAGCGAATTTTGAATGATTGTACGTTCTAATGGCAAACGAACCAACAAACAAATGCTAACCAGCAAATTTAATCACATACGTAACACATACAAAACACTAATACGCCTGCTCTCCACCACCCCACTCTCATCATGCACAATTCATTTCGCCAAATAGTGAGTTCTTTGGAACCATTCAGTCCATTCATGGCCTATTTTTAACAAATGCTTGAATACCCGAACGAGTTGCATCGCTTAAATGGCTTTATGCCGTGCCGAAACTTACATACACAGAGAGAGAGAGAGAGAGAGAAAGAGAGAGAAAGAGAGAGAGAGATTGTGTATGCTAGAGAAAAAAGGTTTTACACCATAGCAAAAAGAAATTCGGTTTGGCACATTGCTATCCTTTTGAGAATTCACACTGGTCACACCTACCAAATACAAGAGCGCTGTTATTTTGACATTCGCAATTCGGACAACCAAAACAAAAGCCAAAATAAAGTACACACAGCCATTGTGCTGAATATTGAGGGCCAGTGTGTTTATGTGTGAGGAAAAAAGATAGATAGAGAGAGAGAGAGAGAGAGAGAGAGAGAGAGAGAAAATCCATATTTTCTATACTTTCTATGGAGTACTTCGGTTGTACGCGAAAAAGCAAACAAAAGAACAAATGAATCACAAACGAAGCAATTTTCCCGCTCAAATGAATGCAGTATTTTCGGTGGGAATTATGCGATGCTGAAGATTTACAAACACCACAATGACGTGATGTCCGCCCCTTCTGGTTCTTACTTTGAGCACTCAGCGTTAGCTCTTTCAAAAATTTGCACACTTGTTTTCATTGTTTTCGATAAAATAGAAGTGAGTTTTTTTGTGCGTTGTTTTTTTTCGTTCTCCCTCTCCCTCTCTCTCTCTCTCACTCTCTCTCTCTTTTCAAGATTCATTCAAATACAAAAACATAGTTTTGGTTCGTTTCGTATGGTGTACTTAATCTATATATATATAAAATGCTTTGGTCCAAAAACATCGGACCCCAAACGAAATTTTTGGATGTTGTTAGCACACTCGGTATGATCAAAGTGTTTGCTCTATACTTTTTGGAGGGGTAGAACTGAGCAAACTTCAAAATGTGAATCTTCAATGCATTGTAATGCAATTTGATGCGTTCGTTGTTTCAAAGCAAATGAGACATGAACACGTATCGACTGCTGTATATACTCTATACCATACGTAAAATAAATACGATGTGTTTTTGTGTATGAGATGAAATTACCTGCATGGAACGTCGGCTGGATCCACTATTCGATCGTGATAGTAGCGGTGGTCGTCGTTTTGTTGCTCCACGTCCGGCGAGTAAGTTGTTCAATAGCGATGGCGAACGTGCACAAATGAATGCATGGAACGATGACACGGTAAATACGCCTAATTTATTTAATGTATTTTTGGTTGGTCTAGACACATGAGTAAGCAAAGACTGAAAATAGAAGAGAAGAAAGAGAGTGAAATATGTATAATAATGTGCAGGTCGAGAGAGCGAAAAAGACAAATAAATAAGTGGTTAATAAAAACGAAATTATGTGACGGTACATATCCAGAGGAGAACTTGATTAAGGCATTGTATGGAAAATTTATCGTGCAGCTGCATTTTGGGACAAAAAACGGTCTAACTTATCTCCACAATGGACGAGAGGTCTGATCAAGTTTCGCAATTTAAATTCCCAACATTGAATTAATAGCTTGTAGTCAAAAGTATACGGTATTGGCACACATGTACACACCCGCCGAAAAAAAAAACTGCCTGCCATTCTGCCTTTAGCGAAAAGAATCAAATGAATCTTTTTTCGCAAATGGTTTTCCGTTTCAATTTGTGGCGTCATGCAGAGGCGATTCGATTTATTTCGATATTGTGTCCGATCTGAATAAATACGGCCCTTTTTTTTGTTCGCAAAGGCCGAATGTCTACCGAATTCGATATTGACATTTGACAAATCACTTTGTTCGAACAAAAATTCCATTTGGTAGACATAAAATGGCTCGTACTGTACAATACGATAACATAATTCCCATGGTCATACATTAGATGATGAAGAAGAAAAAAAATCGCATTTTTCCAATTTGACCGTTGAAAGAGGATAAAATGGGACGAAAAAAATGTATATAACTGAATGAGTCGGTCAAAAAACGTCGGTGTTTTACCGGGGATACCATCCGACTTGGTTCTTAGCTGATGAAATGAGAACACTCGGACCACGCTAAATGCGACTCGATATTATCGAGCAATAATTCACCAATATGAATTATATTGTTTTATCCATTTAATCATATATTGCAAATACCCGATGAAGAAGCTTGGCCTATGGCATGGTGTCATTTCAATTGACACTCGGATATAATTTGGTGTGCCATTTTCAACATACCATATACAAATCCACACAATGCCAGAGTGAGCGTGTGATGAATGGAGTTGATAATATCGTTTAACAACAAGATTGTGTAATAGATTTGCACACTCAATGGGATGGCCCATTTTTTTATTTCGATGCGTATGTACTTCCGCTTTCAGCACAAATACAACTGCGATCAACAAACACACAAGCATGTGTCCACCATCAATAAATAAATTGAACTAAAAGTGAACGGGGACGGTCGGTGGGATATAGAGGGAATGAGCGCTCCAGAAGACTTGTTCTTCACATCAACAGCAATAACAATGCCAAACATCGATAAGTCGAAATTGGATGCGATTGAATACGAACGATGGCAAATTTTATAATTAACAAAATTACTCTCGCACATCAAGAGAAAGCAAATGTGGATCAGGTTGGAGTGTGTGAAGAATGAGAGAAAAACGAAATGGAAAAAAATGAAAATATTGGGAAATGGTCTTGCATCGTTATTGCTTCATTTTTTTTTCTTTCTCTTTACATTATAGCCAGACACATCAATCGCATGCACAGCGTTACGATGTATGGCACGTAATACTGTTGCAATTATTCCAATGACTTAATTCAATACATTTACGTTGATCAAGTCGAAGAGCTCACTTCGTTCATTGGTTTGCCGCCTTTTTTCACTCTCTCTCTCTCTCTCTCTCTCTCACTATCTCTCTATCTCACTCTGTATCTCGTCGTTCGAAGACAAATGAATTATTTAATGGAAGCATATTTAATATTGTTTCCAACCAATAATCTCTAGAAAAATATCGTTGTATAGTCAGCTGCCGTTCGGATTATGCTATCCCAAAAAGTTAAATGTCCGTAAAATATTGGATGAATGTGCGCTCGTTCGATTATTTGAGGGGTCAAATGTCATGTGGCGTGGGAAAGCAAAAGAAAACACAGTAAAAACGCGAGGGAACGAGAGAGAGAGAGAGAGAGAGGGAGAGAGCGAGAGCTTTATTGACAAAGAAGATGAGAAAGATTCACAAGCCTTGATACGTATACATATTTATATAAATAGTATATATGAATTTGACAGTAGGTTGTGTTTATGTTACATAAATAGAAATACAAATGGAAAAGTTTGGTGGTGAACGCTCCTAATGCGATTGCTTGCCATCAGATGATATTTTCATTGTCGTTTTTCTTTGTTTATCAATAATGGACCATAGTTTCCTAACAAATGGGTTGTACTGTCTTGTCGACTTCGTCTTTTTATACAATGTTCGGATGTTGTAACAAAAAAAGAAAGTAAAATAGGTAAACAAGCGGCCGCAGCAACATAAAGGCACATATCGTATTTTAACATTGCATATAACACATGGTGTGGTCTTTGGTTGTTCGGTGTCACATATAAAAGGGCTTGTTTACATTTCACCGAAAAAATGCTTACTTTAATGCTGTCCCATATGCTGTGTATACGTTTGTAAAAATTAATTCAGTATAAAGCGGGTTAACCCACCGAAAACTTCCAATGTTCGGATGGATGGATCGAACGAATTTCACGGAAATCCGGCCAGACTTAGGACAAAAGTGGAAGGATTTATTCCCAAATGGTTTTCGCAGTGGATTTTGTTTTATCAAAATTCTCGATTTCAAATGACTTGAAATTCAAACTAACAACACATTCACTATGTGAACTACATACACACACACACAGAGAGAGAGAGAGAGAGAGAGAGAGAGAGAGAGATATAAAAAGTGTATTTCGATACCGAATTCAGGGTTGTTGTACCATATTTCAACCGGGTGTACTATTACCATTTTTTTTTGGCTGAGGCTTGGGACAAGAGATGTTCGGCGACACAGAATCAATTTTACGGGCTCATAATTTGTAGACGAAAATTAAATTGAAAATGCAGACATCTATTATTAATGGATACATTTGATGCTTGACTACCGCATTAAGATGTTTGATTGATGCATTTACTCCGTCTATCTCTTTCGCTCTCTTTTTCCGTTTTCTCGACCATTGCCGCTCTCTTCTGCACCAATGCACGTACATTCACATGGTTGAAGCTTTTCTCAAGCATGAAAGATGATTTTTGATGTAGTTAACGAATTGACAAATTCTGTGTAAACTTCATCATTTGCTTGTCAACACCAGTGCTTCTCCATCTAAGAGAGTAAGCAAACAGTCGATATTTTTTTCTTCATTTTTTTTGGAGGTGGAAAGAAAAAAATGAAATGGAAAGAATGAGAAAGAGAGTGAGCGAGAGACACGAATTCATGATTGAAAAGTATGAATAAAGTTATTCACGAAAACAATCTAAAACATTAGTAAGTAGCACAAGTACACTACATATCATTTCCAGAAGAGTTAATTCGTTTAACATAAGCCATCATCTCTCCTTTTCTCGCTCTCGCCGCCGGAATATATACGAACACACACACAGAGAGAGACACATGTGCGGTATCTTGTGTGTTGGCTCCGAACAAAGAAAAGTCAATGAAAGCTCAATTCGTGAAAGAAAAATAACAGAAGCAAGGGGAGAAGGAGTGCGACGAAATGTAATGTTAAAAAGGAACACGAAAACCCAAATAAATTGTAACACTGATGCCAAGCAACACTGAATGAGCACATTGTATGGAAAGTCGGCGATCTCCATACGACTGACATCTCCTGCTAAGTAGCATACCAACATCTATATAATATATGCGCATAACAAAGTCCAAAAAAAGAGCGAACAAAGTGCCTGCTGAAAACTAAATTTGAATTTGATAACACAACTTCGACGATTATGCCAAAGACGAAGTAGCAGAAGAAGAAGAAGAAGAAGAAGAAGAAGAGACTAGGAGGAGAGAAAAAGAGAAGAAAAAAAACGCTGGCGGTTGGTGTACGTGTGTGGTGTAGCTGAAAACGGCAAAGATTATACACGACGTAACCATCATTGACAGCAATTGGTTTTCCCGTTTAAATTGAATCGGTGGAATTCGGAAAGTTTTTGGGCTCCAGCGGAAATTTTCTTATGTATCTTCTTACTGTGTATATTATTCTTATGTATCACTTCTGTGCAATGGAGCGATAAATTCTCGTTGCCACCGCCACCACCACCACCAGCACCGATATGTATAATCGTATACAATCGTAATCATAAATTAGTAGATAAAAATGTGTCTTCTGCCACTGTCGCTGCTTCGAAACTTGTCAAAATTGTTTGGGGTTCGATTTTTTTCCCAGTTTTCTTCCTTGAAACAGCCCAGATAAAGTGCAAATCTCATTATTTATTCGTCGACATTCCCATCGACATATACCCCAAGAATATTCAGATCTCATTTCATTTTCTGCCACCGACATTCAATCTATTGGCAACAGCAGTTCAATCAGTTGTGTGCAGCTGAAAAAATAAATAAATAAGAGCTCGTACGGCTACAGTTATTTGAATCTTGATGCATCGATTGACAAAAAAAAAGATACGAAGATGGGAACGGGTATGAAAAATGGCGAAAAATGAAAATCAAATTGGAATAAAATAAACGAGCCCCATTTTATGTGATAATAGATGTATTACATTTTTCGCACCTCATTTCTCATGGGTTATAAATATAATATGGATTTTATTACTTCTCCTTATATATATATATACATATTCGACTCATTCTCTATCATATTGGTACGTGTACATTTTGCTAGCAAAGAAAATCCGATACATCACTTTTTTGCCATTCATGCCAGAGCAAAAAACATGATTTTTTTTTTACTTTTCTCTTGTTTTTCTCCGAATATTTTATAATTGGAAGGAATATTTTCAGTGAATGATGTGACAAAAAAAATCAAGTATGAAAAAATGTCGATTTTTAGGTCCATTTAAAAAAAATGGCTGTAAACTACATAGTATAACGTGACGAATAGACACAGACGGATATGTGCTTTCAACATATTAAAAGATATAGTGAGTTCCGTTTCTAGGGGAATATCACGCTCCTGAATCTTGTGAAATATTTGAGATATTTGAAATAAACATCAATTGTATGACATATTTTCGAATATTTCGAATAAATAAATCAGATTTTTGTGGATTTTGGAGATATTTGAGATTTTTTGCATTAAATCCGAAAAAATACATTTAAATATCATTCATAATCACAAAAATCCACAATTGTCCGCCGTATTCACAAATATCCACCATATTTCATCCGAAAGGTTCTTAAGGTACTATTTCCTAGCGGCCGATTTTCGTCGCCGATTCAAGAGGGTTATTCGGAATTTTGGGTATAACTTCTGAGCCACTGAACGGATTTTAAATTTTTTTATATTTTCTGAGAGGTGTAATCTTCATCTTTCTAAAAATGTATATTATTTTAAAATTTGTCAAGTGGTTCGACAAACATAGCAAATATGCTGAAAATTGGTCAAGATCGGCCGCCGATTTTCCGCCGATTCAAGTATTTTTGCTATATTTGTCGAAACACTTGACAAATTTTAAAATAATATACATTTTTAGAAAGATGAAGATTACACCTCTCAGAAAATATAAAAAAATTTAAAATCCGTTCAGTGGCTCAGAAGTTATACCCGAAATTCCGAATAACCCTCTTGAATCGGCGACGAAAATCGGCCGCTAGGAAATAGTACCTTTAGAGATAAATTGAATTTTCTTGAAATGTTTGGAATAATTTAAGCGTGATATTCCCCTAGTTCCGTTTGTGGGTAGAAAAAAACTGACGTTGACCACAACATTCGTAGCAGCAACGAGAACAAAAAAAATATATCGCTTGAGCACTAGAAAAAAATATCATGGGATAATTTGCATGATGATGGAAATCGATTTCAAACTTTTACACACGAATTCGTATTTCAATTGAAATTTATTTCGGTAATCTGAATACATATTCATATATTTCAGTTTTTTGTTCACCAAGTAAAAATGTACAACGAATGCAATGATAAATTGATGAAATCATGTTCAGTGTGGTGTATATGTTTGTATATATAAAGCCAGGCGCTATTGTATGGCCAGGGCCACACACAAAATCACACATACACAATTTTCAGCTGACATTTCAATCTATTGAGAGGCAAGCGCTTTCGAGTTGGCTGCAATTCAACTTGAAAATGTCGCCAACATGACTCTATCTCTCTACTATGAATACAATGAATGGCAAAGAGGGAAAAAGAATATTTCCATTTTTTTCTGTTATATTTTGCGTAAGTCATCGTTGTATCTAAACTCTTTTCAATATTCATTCGTTTCAATTGCTAACACACTCTATTAGAATCGTTGTTCGGCGAACAAAATTAAACATTGCACAGTTCATACATACATACATACATACATATATGTACAGTGCACACTGATTATTATGTCGAAGAAGAAGGAGAAATGAATGCGGGCAACTTTGCAAAATGATTTATGTATTCACCATGACGAAAGCGACCTCAACAAAATCAATATCGCATATCCTACATAAAGCTGAAAAGCCGCTCGGTCTTCGTCCAAGTTTCTATTTTCCAGTGTGTGTCACACATGGGTGACATGCAAAACTCTAACTCCGTTCGACTAACTCGGTCGGTTTTGGTTCAAAGATGCCGGCTAAGACGACAATACGGATTCCATGCTTTGGTAAAATTACGCGCAAATGTTAAGTTAACTATAAACAGACTTTAGGCTGCTGTCGAAGTTCAATTTCGACGATTTTAACCAAAACGAAAAAGTGGAAAGAAAAAAGCCAATGTTAAAAGAGACTTTGCACATACCTTGGGGTTTGGCAGTTCGCCACCTTGTAACGATGCCATGTAGCAACGTAAGCGGAATTGCTCACAATGCAGACGCTCCAAGTTCTCTTCCCACGTAAGAATTTGCGTTTGTATTTGATGCCGCGTATCCTGGTCGGTAACGACACTCTGTTGCAATTCAGCCATATTCTTCAGTTTGTGATCCTGCAGATGGAAATAACGGAAAACAAAAGGAAAATGTTAGAAATCCAATGGTAAAATATCGTTAATTTCGACTCGAAAACTGGCATATCATCATGTTGGAGATTTAAAGGGATAGTAAGAGGAGAAATTTAATGAAAAGTGAGTAATGGCCAACAAGTCAAGTTGAGTGTTGGGCAATTTGTAGTTGTCTTACAATAGGTATAACTTCATTTTTTTTTCATAAAAAGATATAAGAAAGTCCAATCGTTCCAAATTAAAATGGGTCGCTTGTCGGTGGCTCCATTTTCTCGCTCTCGCATACTCCAAATAACAAGGATTTTACAACAACTGAATTATAATGAAATTCTGGAGTTTTAAATCGCACACCAGTTTTGCTCATTGTTTGCTAACAGTCCTTCAAATCGAAATGAAAAGCGTGCGGGTGATAGAGAAAGAGAGAGGCGTATAGAAAACGAGAGAAGAGTTTGAAAAACAGCTCACAAATTTAATGGGCTTTTTTGTTGGTCGTAAAGTGCTCTGCCGAATTCTTCCGGCCTTAACAATTAAATATATATAAATATTTTTTTTTTGCTTGTTCATAAAAAAATGCGATGGTTTATATTTTCCCTGGCAAAGGGATGCAACATGAGCGTTTCTCGCGCATTTACCGATTTTTCGTTGGATACAATGAACCAAACCAAACAAGATGAGTGTGAGATGAAGTAAAAGAAAGCACGCGATGTTGCCGTTGTTCACAGGTACTGCATATAAGCGTCTGACAGCTCACTGCTAGCGCTGCGAAACAAGTGTCAAAAGTTGTGACTCAGATCGTTCAATGTTTACTGCAAACTATTGCATCTTTTTTATATTTGTTAATAAAGTAGACGAAAAGAATAAAAATGTCACGAATGTGCAAAATTGATTTTTGTGAGAGCGTAGCAGGTGATAAACATCAATTTTATAAGTAAAAAAATTGTTTTTCATCACAGAACATTGTTGATGAGTTCATTCAGTCGCGTTCATGAGTGCGTCTAACGACGTAAACGAATTGAAATAAACTTCATTGAATGAGCTCATCGCAAATTCGTATTTTACTTTGTTTTGTTAGTGTTATGCATAGGTTGCGCCGTTGTTATTGTTATTGCAAAATGCAAAAACTATATAACACACAATGGCAATCATACAAAACGAAAATGAGGTTAGTAAGATTTTTCAATGCATTTTGTAAATATAATATTTATTTCCATATAGTTTGTGTTCTTTCTTCTTGCTTTTTCCCCCTTTTCTTTCTCTTTGTTTGTTGTCGCGAAGTTTTTCGTTAGATTGTGTGTTCGTTGTCGCTCTAAAAATAGCCAGATTTGCAAGGGAGCACCAGAGTGTCGCATGGCGTGAGTTTCCGTTATTGTAGAAATTATTCAATTTTCATGTGCATGCACATTTAAGCTCAAAACGAGTGGTAAAAACTCGGCCAACAATTGTAACAAAATCAAAATGAAAAAAAAATTGTATTTTACACAATGGACATCCAGTAGCCTATTTCACCAAATGTTTTCATGAGAATTTCTCCTCAAGTTTTTTTGGTCAAACAAATATATCTAAATGTAGCAATGAGAAAATCTCAATAGAAACGTGAAAATATTCTCATTTTTTTGACATTATTTTGAGCGCCAACTTGAAATTTCGAGATTTTTCCACAAAATGTGAGATCACATCATGGTTGGCTCAAAAATAAATGAAAATTTAAAATTTTCGCTCAGAATAATGTCAAAAAAATGAGAATATTTTCACGTTTCTATTGAGATTTTCTCATTGCTACATTTAGATACATTTGTTTCACCAAAAAAACTTGAGAAGAAAATCTCATGAAAATTTTTCATGAAAACATTTGGTGAAATAGGCTGCAGATGACTTTGGCTCTGGATCTTATATATGTATATAAAATATATCCTTCAATCTTATTATTATTAATGTATGTGATGGGCATAAAAACAGTCAACTCTCGGTGAAATAAAAAATGATTTTTGTCCGTTTTAATGCTCAGTATTTTGCTACGAAATAAACAAAAGGAAATACAAAATGCATGCTCTCTCGCTTCTCTATCCTTCGGTCGCGTTGTTGGAAAAGAAAATAGGCCGGTCTAAGTGTAGGCTCTGCAATCACACGCACACTCACTCACTCACTTACTCACTCATCCACAAACATGGAGGAAATGGAGCTTATACACAATAAACAAGAAAACGAAAAGTAGCAGTAGCAGCGCAGTGGCATAGTAAGAAGAAAACGAGTGAGGAAAAACCGACAAAAGAACGAAATCTACTCGACGTTGACTTTATGTTTGATTCCGTCTCGCTTCTGTTGTTTGTTGTTGATTCGCATTTTCAGATTCAAGAATCGTTTGTTTTCAGTTTTAATGAGGCATTGAATGTCTTGAATTGGATTTTATGTATAAAATTTTAATTATGTATTGTTTTTGACAATAATAAATTATAGGGCTCCCGCCAATTTTCCGCTTGTGAAAATACCGCGACCCCATTAATCTACCATCCCATCTCCCGCCTATGATCGTTCGCACATTCGGGCTACCAGTGGAAAAAAAAACATATTAAAATTGCACATTGTTGCGCATTGCTGATGATAATTCTAGCACATTGTTTGTTATTCACTGTTTGTGCGCACACATTGAAAAAATACAAAACGAATATTTACACAGTAAACAGAAGATAATTTGCCACTCGTCTACACATGAAATCCCTATATTTGGTTCTTTCCACCAATATTATATATATTGGGTCTAAAAATGGAGCTGGATTTTTTTTGGATGTGTATGGTTTTTGTTGCTGTTGTTTTTTTTTTGTTATTTTCGTTCTCTATTTTATTATTTTCGTTTTACTGCAAATGTGATTTTATCAAAAGTCACTTTTCATTCTCTGCTACTCCCGCTCTCGCTCATTTTATCAGTCAGAGTGAGGGATTTGTACCCGAAAAAACGCGTCCAATATTGGCATTTGTATTATCGACAGCTTGAGAACTTGTTGCCCATAACTTTGTATAGAATGTCACATTTGTGTGATTCAAAAGTTTGTAGCACACTTCACATATTGCGTGAATATTGTAAAAATAAAGCACAAACGGTTTGGGTGGAGAGGAAAAAAATTAAAGAAAATGCGTCACGTGTAAAAAAATGTAAGATGTAATAATTATTGACACTTGAGGCTGAATTTAAAAGTAGAACCAAAACACATATACACAGAGAATATGATGGAGCGAGCGAGAGAGAGACAATGAAAGCGAAAGTGAAATGAAACAATGAAGAAATAAACAGGATATGAACAAAACTTTTGGCATTACAATAAAAACCGAGAAGTTTTTTTTTTCTCTCTTTGATTCCATAATCCAGCGTATGCATTAAAAATACACTCGTTTATATTGCCAATCCAAGTATCCATAAAATGAACACTCACAATCGCGCGCCCAAGTCAAAATGCTATGCCAATCGCTTTTCTCACATTGCGTTCTTCCGTTCCGTTCTTTCCTTTTCTTTGTGCCCATATAAAAGACTTCCACTCGAAATTCTCTCTCTCTCTCTCTCTTTTCTTCATTCACTCCGTGGACTTTTGTCGATGATTTTTTATTATCTACGTTTGGCTTGTGTGTATTTATTCATACGTTGATGCTTTTGAAATTCACAGAATTGTTATCGACGCGTGTGCTTGATGCGACTATTTTCTGCTTAGACATTTTACTCTGCCCAACAAAAAACGATCTGACACGATGGAATGAAACAACAAAATCTTATACAAAATAATAACTGTAAAAAGATGTGTATGTATCCTTTGTTTATGTATTCGTACTTATACAAAATATATCGCGAATAACTGTTAGCACAACAGTTGAGCTACAGCTCAAGAGCTTTTTGAACGAGTTGATTTAACATCAACAACACATATAACATTTGAATAATATAATTCCAAAACCGAACGTCATTCATATTTTGATTACGTTTGCTTCTGAGGTTTTGCCATGTTTAAATGCGGAGTTTTGGTGATGACGCATTCCAGTTCTTTGTGCTTGTCATCATTCAAAAGCTCATGCATGTTTGCACTACTGAGTCCCAGCACCAGAAATGATGTGTGGTGTTTGCCTCATACGAAATTGCAACATTGATTATGTGTCATAAAGTCTGTCAAATGAATAATGTAACATACGAAAATAAAAACAGCTCACAGGCACACACACACTCCCAAACGACGGACAAAAACTTATTCGGAAGTGCACTGAGTTGCTTATTATTGGCAAATGTATTTAATTAGTGCAGATTCATTTGACAAAATGATAAAATTCATATCCCTCGGCGTCATCGTCTCTTGTCCAATTAAATGCACCATCATGATACCATAAAAGTTGGAATTACTTAATTATCTAATTAACAGGGGCTATCTATACAAAGCGGCGTATTGGACTGGAATGATGATAGCAACTTTTTCAAACCAACGACAACAACGATAACTATGGTCACACTGCCAATGCACAAAACTTCCCAGTTAAAATAATGGCTCATAAGTATTTCAATTAATTTCGAAAAGATACACAGAATTTCGACACCGACTGTGCCACACACTGCATTGCATATTTTCGCTAGTATGCTTTGGATCATTGGTGGTGCTGATGGTGATGGTGATGGTGGTGTGTGTAAGTTCTGACCATTGTCTATGACGACGACGTGAGTTAGTGCTTGGCCATGCCACGGTATGGCAGTGACAGTTTTTCATCATTTATATGAAACGCATGAAACTTTGGACGTGACCAAAATGTTGACGGTGGAAAAAAAGTTTAAATGTTTCAGGGAGGGTTCAATTAGATAATACTACAGACGCACACATGCACGTGTACAAAGTTCGGGAGGGGTTTTTTTTTTTAAATATTCGAGTTCGTTTATTTTATCTCTATCTCAATCTAACGCTCTCTCGGTATATGTATGAGTGTGCCATCTAACCAGTCAACAATTCATACATTTTACACCA